GGTCGCAGGAACTCCCCTCCTGGAAAGCATGCTCTGAACAACCAGGTTTCCTGCCGGAACCCAGCCATGAGCATGGCAAAGTTGTGCTGTCTGTCCTGGAAATGATGAGTTGAAGCATCCCTGGACATCTCCTCCTAGCAAAACAAACTTCAGTCTGGGCTGAAAGAAGTGCTGAAACACATGTTTGCTTTAAGCAGGTCCCCTCTCCCAGCTCCCCACTTTTCCTACACATCATCCTGAGCTGGGCTGCCTTGCTGGACCAGAGCTTCTCCCAGGCTCACCTGCTGCTGCAGCTGAAGGGGAGCCTAAAGGACATGAGCTCTTATGGCTGGTGTCCCTCAGGAAGGAAAATCCTGTCAGATCAGCAATAGCAAGGACTTAACCTATGGCAGGACCAGGGTCTAAACCTAGCCAGCACAGCTGCACCCCACACCAGCCCGCACCACAATCTCACTGGTTTGGTGAAGAAGGGGGATGATGGAGAAGATGAGAATCAACATCATGGCCTTAGAGACACTTCTATGGGCAGTGGCAAGGCAAGCCCAGAGTCCAGCTCTCTGCAGGCTGCGTCTGAGGCAGAGGGCTTACCACTTAAATGGAGAGAAGATGTTCTCATCTCAAGAGAGGAAGATCTGTTGGGAACCACAGAGTTGGAACTGGCCGCCCCTTGTGCTGCTTCTGGCCTTTGCCCTCAAACCCCTCTGAGCTCAGCCAAGGCTCTTGGAGGAGGGAAACCCTCCAGGGACACTACCCTGAGGAGTAACCCATGGAATGCTTACTTACCTCTTCTTCCACTCCCAATGGACTTGCTGTATTTTGTTATTAAGCTGCATTTTCTGCTCCTCAGGGAGGGCATCATACTCATCCTCATTCAGCTCCCAGAGATGGTCTTCCTCCCTCCTGGCAGCTTCTTCCTGCTCCCGTACTTCAGCACAGACCAGAGCAGAAACCATTAGCAACTGCAAGCAGAGGTTGGTGCTCTGGATGAGCTCTGCAAGGTTTCAGAGCTCTTTCCCAACCCAGCCTATCATCATGCCAGGAGATACTGGGGAGTTCATATCCCTGCTCCTAAACTCAGACAATCCTCCAAACTCTGGCCAGGTGCAAGTTCCCGTGCTTTGCCTGACTGATGTGCACCACCACTGGGGACAGCCGGCCGGTGGTTAGTCACTGAGCCACACCAGCTTGCACTTGTGCCCAAGCTTTAATGTTAGAGATTATGGTGAGTCTTACAGCCTCAGCTCTGCTGTATTTCAAGCAACTGTGAGCTGAGTGCTGGCTACACCAAGGCAGAAGGTGAAAGGATTAATAAAAACATTTCTTATGAGCTCTGTGGCAAACCCAGATATACAGAGATAAGGATGAGAGAGAAGATTTGAGTGGGATGGGATGCCTCACCTTCCTGCTCCTTTGCAGCTGTCTCCTTGCCTTTCCCAGAAGCATGATTCTGGAACAGGTTCACCATGTAAATATGAGGCCGACTGCTGACAGCTCTGAGAAGGCAGAGGAGAGCAGATGCTATGCTGTCTGCAAAGAGGGTCTCTAGGCCATCAATCACCACTCCCCGGTAGCAGTCACTCAGCTGTGAATTAAAAGCAGAAAGGAAGAGTGAGTCAGCTGTTGCACGTGTTGGGGTCACAGCTGGTCAGTATATCCAGATGTCAAAGGACACCAGCCAG